AATTTATTCTCGTCACAGGAGAATATGTGTCAAAGTAATCATGGCCCTCACGTTGCTTGTATCCCTTGATTACAAGTCTGGCCTTGTACTTATCGATGGAACCGTCAGGTTTCATTTTCCGTTTAAAAATCCACTTGGATCCCAAAGGTTTATTTCCCGGAGGAAGATCAACCAATTCCCATGTGTGATTTTTAAGGATAGAATCCATCTCACTTTTGATGGCTTCTTTCTACATAGGACCTTCGGTAGACGTCACGGCTTCCGTATAAGTCCGTGGCTCATTTTCTACAAAACATGTTAGAAAATCCGGTTCATTTTCTACCATACATGTTAGAATATCCGATTCAAATTCTACCAAGTAGGAGAGAAAATCCGGTTCGAAGGATTTTTCAACTCTAGCACGTTTGCTACGTCTGGGTTCGGCTTCTTCGAAGCCCTCGCTAGTATTTTCCATAGCTACGTCAAATGTTTGTTTTGACGTGCTTGGTCCTTCATTGGACTTGCATGGAAATATGTCTTCAAAGAATGATGCATTCCTTGATTCAATTATTGTGTTTTTATGTACATCCGGATTATTTGAATCATACACTAAAAACTGATAAGCACTACTATTTTGTGCATATCCAATTAAAATACAATCCACCGTTTTTGGACCTATTTTTGTTTTCTTAGGTGTTTGTACAAGCACCTTTGCAAGACACCCCCACACTTTTAAATATTGATAGGAAGACCGTCTGCATTTCCACAACTCGTACGGAGTTTTATCATATTTTTTCCGGGGAACCTTATTTAAAAGGTAATTGCTTGACAAGACTGCTTCGCCCCACATATTTTGTGGCAGGCCCGAACTTACTAGCATCGCATTCATCATATCTTTCAATGTGCGATTCTTTCGTTCGGCAACACCGTTTGATTGAGGTGAATAGGGTGCGGTACGTTCATGTACTATACACACGCTCGCACAAAAGTCACCAATTGGTGCTTCATACTCACCACCTCGATCACTTCTAACCGCTTTAATCCGTCGATTAAGTTGGTTTTCCACTTCATTCTTATAAAGAATGAATTTATCGATTGCGAGTGCTATCATCTATAAAGGTAATAAAATATTTATTACCACTACGTGTTTGTATTGATTTAAAATCACAAACGTCACTATGAATTAATTCAAGTGGTTCCGTTTTTCTTTCAACCGATTTGAAAGACGTTTTCGTTAGTTTTGCCTCTACACAAACTTCACATTTGTGCTTCACATCAATTGTGAATTTAGAAATGTGCTCAATGTTAATTAATCTACCTATAGAATTAAAATTAACATGTCCTAGTCTACCATGCCACACATTAGAAGACTCAAGCAAGTAAGCAGAAGGGATTTTATTATTATTATTATTATTATTAGTCATTACATTGAGCTTAAACAGCCCATCACATGTATACCTTGCCCACATACATTCCCGACTTAGACAAAACTAGTTTGTCCGACTCAAAGACCATGCGGAAGCCATGCTTGTTCAACAACGAGCCAGAGATCAGGTTTTTGCGTATCTCCGGAACGAACATCACTTTGTTGAGAGTCAGCTCCTTGCCCGAAGTCATCTTCAGGACCACTTTGCCCACGCTTTCTACCGCGGAATGGGCTGAGTTTCCCATCCACACCTTTTCACCATTTGATGGCTCAAAAGTAGTGAATAACTTCCGGTTTGAGCAAATATGCCGGGTAGCACCGGTGTCCACGAACCACTCCTTGGAATTGGATCCAACGAGGTTGACCTCGATCACTACAGCTGCAAGGATGATGTCCTCATCCTTTTGCCCACCTTGCACCAAGTTGACTTGAGAGTCCCTCTTCTTCTTGGGTGCCTTGCAATCCGCGGACTTGTGTCCATTTTTATTGCAATTGAAGCATTTTCCATTGAACTTTGTCTTGGAAACGCCTCCCTTGGGACCGAGCTTGCTCTTCCCATTATTTTTATTTTTGGAGCCTTTAGCATGCTCCATCATGTTGGCCTTGGCGCTGGTAACGATTGGGAGTTTCCCATCGTTCTTCCGGTTATCCTCTTCAATCCGCAGACGGAGGATCAACTGCTCCAAGTTCATTTCCTTTCGCTTATGCTTAAGGTAGTTCTTGAAATCCTTCCAAGCCAGCGGCAATAAATGGATAATTGACGCCACTTGGAAAGACTCACTAACTGTCATTCCTTCATCTCGAATTTCGTTGAAGATCATTTGCATCTCCTCAACTTGACTCAAGACCGTCTTCCAATCCACCATTTTAAAATCAAGGAATCAGCCAACAACAAATTTCTTTGCACCGGCATCCTCTCTTTTATATTTGTGGTCCAAAGCGTTCCATAGCTCCTTAGCCGTAGCTAATTTGCTATACACGTCGTACAAAGCATCATGCAGCCCGTTCAACACGTAGTTTCGGCAAAGGAAGTCAAAATGCTTCCAAGCTTCAACCGCGTTGAAAGATTGCGCATCCACCTCACCCCCGGTTGCTACCGGCGCATCTTCGGTCAAGAACCTAGCAAGACCGAGAGTAGTGAGGTAAAATAGCATCTTTTCCTGCCACCTCTTGAAGTTTAACCCGTTAAATGTTTCGCGTTTCTCTACAGAGTTGCTCGGCACGGTAACCATAGGGATTGCCCCTTGGTTGCCCAAAGTAGATGAACCGCGTTGTGAACCATTGTTCACCGGTGCTCCACTTTCAGAGTGATTATCTTTTGGCACGTTCTGCCCACCAACATTCTGAATTTCTTGAGAAACCATTTTAACGTTTTCTTACGTTTTCCGAAAACACAAAAAAATAAGTTCGTTCACCAAAGTGACAAACTACGATTTTAAGATTGTATCCGTGTGATACAAGCTTGGAAAAATACGTGTTAAGATTGTTTACCCTAGTAACACAATCATGGAATACGTTTTAAGATTGTTGGGTGTGTCTCGGAAAAACGAAGAAATATTAATTAATAAAAATAATTAATTAATTTAAATAGCTAAAGAAAACCAGAAATAAGATGGAACAGAGTTTAGCCAGAGCTCGTGCTACGCACGATGTCCTTAAAACGTATTTGTCGCCTCCCACGGTGCTAGGAGCGTTGCAACGACCGTTTCCCAGGATACGGTGGCTATCGAACTAACGTTTGAGCACACAAACGAGAGTTCCGGCGAACGGGAACAAGGACTGAACACTCAGGAAATTTTCAGAGAGCTGAAGGTGTTTTTGAGAGCTAAAAAACATGTATGATTGCTTGTGAACGTGTGTTTGTTGCAAACCACCTGCCAGCCATTTATAGGAGGATTTGTTGTGCGTTAACCGAGCTTTAATGGACATGAACGTTGCACATAAATGTCCAGCACGTTGGACATTAATATGTTGAAAACTGCCCATTTAAAGCGCACATTAATGGAGAAGAACGTTGGGCATTAAGTCCTGTAACGGACAGAACATCGAGGTATTCTGTTGCGCAAAGGAACACCACATGTCCTTCTGGTTTTGGAGCGAAATGAACACCCTGAGGTCTCCTGTTGGGAGCGACCAGAGAACCCCTCGAGGTATTCTGTTGGGAGCGATCAGAGAACCCCTCGAGGTATTCTGGTGCGTACAACAGAACCCTTAGGCCTTTGTTTCGTTTCTGGAAAACTGGAACCGTTCGTGTCCGCAGGTTGCCCGCGCACACGAGTCGCGGTTTTTCTCCTCCGTTTCGGGATTTGATCGGCACCCCCCTGCGCGCGAGAGAGAGCCTTTACCTTAAGGAATCTTAACTCCTTAAAAGAGGCTTCCCTTTATAAGGGGGTGAAAATCCCTTGAGTTTTTCGGTGTGGTATAAAACACACTAGAAACCCACCATTTTCCCAGTTTTTCCATTTCAACGAGTGAACTTCGAGAATCAATTTCTCATTCACCCGTTATCCGTTTTGAGTGTACCACATATCGAATTGTAGCCCTTAACAAGGACAATCCGAAACCACTTTGAACCGACCCAAATAGGAAGTGGACCCCACTAAAATAATTGCCCCAAAATGACCATTTAATGCAATTTTTAACATATTTTTCCAACAATTTTAACATTGCCATCTAAATAAAATCAAAAAGGACACATGGTGCCAAACTAAAAAAATTGGTATAAAAATTCATGGCACTTCGAGATGCATAATTATGACTTTCTACGTCGAAGAAAAATGGCATTTTCATTTGAATAATGGCATTAACAGATAAATAAAAACGCCATATTGAAAAAAAAAAGAAAAATTATAAAATCAAAAATGATATTGCCATCTTGATAAAAATTAGTACCATGAAAATGGCATTATTTGTCAATATGACATTTCATATTCAAGAACATGACACTGTAAATATTGTTTTTCAAAATAACTAGTAGTGCCTTCTTGATAAAGGCAGAGACGTTTATATAAATGACGTTATTCATATATAACGTTATGATGTAAAACATTGAAGCCTTGCATTTTCGTATCCCAATAATTTTGCAGATCTAAAACATAAATGTTCAATTTAGAATATGAAAAGGTGAAGCAAAATCATTGATTGAAATAAAAAATCAAAAGAAGATGAAAACAGAGGACAAAGGAGAATGAAGAGGAGTAGAAGAGGAGGAGGAGGAGGGGGGAGGAGGAGGTGGAGGTGGAGGAGGGTGGAGGAGGAGGAAGGATTAACCTGCTGCGGTGACAGTGAGGTCGGACCGGCGAACCAAAGCAGTGACTGGCGGTAGCAGCGGTTGTGGAGGAACCTGGCGGGGAAGAAAGAAGATGGAGACATGAGTGAATTGATCGATTTGGGCGGCGAAGAAGGAAGATAAAGAGAGGGGTGAATTGATCGCAATGGTGGGTGAAGAACTCCCTGGAAGCGCGTGAATCGATTTGAGGAATAAGGGTTTTAATTATTAGAAGGGTGAATGTGGTATATTAGTTATATGGAGTCTTATTTAAGGAATAAATAACTTAAACTCCTATTTAGGAACTCATCTTATGTTTTACTCCTATTTAGGTTAATTTCTTTTTTTTTTGAACGTAGAAGACTTATATTAGAATATTGGAAACTCAGATAGTAGCAAAAAGACAAACCCTTTTATTTTGGTCACCTGCCCTAGGATTAGACATAGAACTGTATGTGTTAGGAACACAACAATTCGCTAACCACTCAGCAGACATCTTGAAGCCTATTGTGACCAAAAAAGAAAGCTTGCCCCCACAACACACCCACAGAACAGATGTTCCAGCTAAATGTCCAAATGTAAAACCACTTACAGTCTTAACTAACAATACCAAAACCAACAAAACCGAAAACAAAGTTACTAATCTGAAAATAAAGCTGAAAGCAGAAAACATAAACTTGAGAGCTTGAGTCATCCCTCTTCAACTTTCCGGGAGCCCCCACCTTGTTTTTTCCACCACCGTTTTCAACCTCCATCATTGTGTATATCCCTCCTGATAGCTCCAGTCTTTGTCGCTTCTATTCAGCTACTTGCACTCCTTCTTCATGATTCACTGGATCTGGAGCCTCGCATGCAAAAACATCAGTACTCGAGCCCATTGTCACAATCTCCCTTTCTCGAGTAGACCCCTCAACACCCTCATTAATATCAATCCTCTGTTTATTAGGGTTCTCCACCACCAACCATTTATTTCCTCCACCTTTATTGCTAAACCCACTACCTGCCCGCAACCTCAGTCCAAATTCCTTCATTTGTGATGATCTTGGAATACTCAAAACCTGAGGACAAAACTTATCACCATATCCGATAAGTCCACAAGTGAAACAAAAGTTGGGGAGTTTTTCATATTTCAAGTTTACCCATAGGCAATCCCCATTTGATTTTTGAACTTTCAGATCTTTCCAAAGTGGTGGCCTTACATCAATAAAAACCCTGATCCTCAGATAATCCCTCCACTTCCCCTCAAACAGGTGGTCATCAAGCTTAACAAAACTTTCAAGTTTATTACCCACAATTTTAGCAACTGTCAAAGTCAAATGCCCAATTGGTAAGTTATGCACTTGAAACCAAAACTCCAAAAAAACTAAAGGAACTTGTAAAGGCAGATCATCAAGCTTTAATTCATGCACCACAACAAGATTTTGGCCGTAAAGCCACGGACCATACTCAAACACGTCTCATATCAATCTCATGATAAAAAGAAAATAGATACCTCTTATCATCAATATCCTTGATCGATACACCCCTATTAGGTCTCCAAATAGAGGTCATTGTGTCTCTGAAAGGCAAGAATTTGACAGTCTTCTCGGACAGAATAGTCCCCACCAAGGACCATGCGGACAACCCGCATTCCTGCTCTTCCTTTTCGTTGAAATCACGCAGAACCAAGTCTACCTCCTCACCATTCTTCTCCACCAATTGTAATCTTCCATACTGATCGGCCAAGCTCTGTTAGGCATCCATAACATCTCATAAACAAGGTTAACCGACTAAAGAAATCACTGTCAAACTATCCCTACAAAAACGCAATCCATTAGACTCAAAAATAGGAAAAACAACGCCCAAAAGCAGAATACAATCCTTCGACGATAGCCCTAGACAAAACGTAGTGACAGAACACGATGCGATCCTTTAGCAAAGTAAAACAGAGCAAAAAAGAAGAAGAAGAAGAAGAAGAAGAAGAAGAAACGAAGACAAAGTAACAGATATCGAGAGAAGATCCCTTCACTCGCACTGAAAAGCGGCGAGAGGGGATAAACAATCTGCACACCTTAACGGTGGCTGCCAGAAAACTCTACGATGAGGGAGCCAGGCCGCATGTTCCACTATCCAATATCTTTTTATAATGGCTAGAAAACACCTTTTTTGCACAAAGTGTATGGCTAATATAATAGAAAAATTGAATAGTCAAGAAAAATGTAAAAAGTAAAAAAGAATGAAGAATAGTATGAAATTAAAGATGAAGAGGAAGAAAAATAAAGATGATTAGAGATTATTAAATGAAAATTATCAAAAGAAAATTAATGTAAATATTTAAATATATACCAAAGTTTGGGGTATTATTATTCATCTATAATTGATATTTTCTAACAAACTCTAAAGAATTATGTGTGTATATGTATGTGAATTAGGGAGTTATATATGTATTTCCTCTACCCCATTTTAGGAACTATATATTTTATTTTGGACCGTTTTAAAAAGATGAACATATTCCAAATTTAATTCCATTACTTTTTACTTTGCACTTTCTATTTGTATCTATTGATTTACTTTTCTTTTTACTTTTTGTAGATAATCTTTTCATACTAAAGTTATCTTTTTCTAACATTATTTTGGTGTCAAATTCAAATGTATGTTACAAAGTACATTTTAAATAGTGGGAGCTGAGTAAGGATGACAACAAGACATGTTTGGGGGAGGAGTCCATCCCTATCCCCAACCTTGTGTGTAAAAAGTCTCCCCGTCACTCTTAGACCCGCTGCCCCTCACTGATGTCCCAAGTGCACTGCGTTAACGTAAGTTGTGAAATGAGAATGGATCTCATTCATTGGACACGACATGACAAGTTTGGGGCAGGGGTTCACCCCCATCCTCGACCTTGTGTGTAAAGAGCCCTCATTCACGCCCCGTCCCCCGTTACTCTTAAGCTGGCTCACTCCCTGCTCCTCGCTGACTCGCTGGTATCCCAGGTGCATCGTATAACATAAGTTAAAAAATGAGAGTGAATCACAACAGTTGAATTCAACTAATGAAGTTGTTGTAAAAGAGTTTTGTATTACATTGAAAATGCAATCACACGTTGTGGCATTTTCATAAATTAGAATCAGTCTTGAATGTGGATTTGGTAAATATGTAAGTAATATAATTGGGGGGGAATTAGACCAGGTGGTATTTAAAGATACAGGTATAAAAGTTGTAAATGAATACAATGTGAATATTTAAATATATACCAAAGGTGGGAGTATTAAACACCATAACTGGTATTTTCTAATAAAATCTCAAAAATTATGTATGTATATGTGTGTGAATTAGGGAATTATTATGCATTTCCTCTGCACCATTATTAGGAACCGAATGGAACGATGCATCAAGGATAATAAACCAGCAAACGACAAGTAGTCGTGGTCATCAGAAGACATCAAGAATGAAGCAATGTCGGCTACTTACGCTGTCTCCGGGAGCGACAGAGTGCTGAAAGGGGAAACTGGGTGACTGACAGGAGGAGCGCGAGGCGAGCTAGGTTTCAGCAGGTCAATTTCTTTATCCCTACGCGGCCTTATAGTTCCACGCCTCTGCTCTTCTTAGGAATACGATCTTCACGAAGTGGGGAGGCTTCGCGCTTTCCTCGGACATCAAATAGACATGTGTCGAACCTCGAAGATCGGGACTTAGCATCCTCCGCCGCGGCAAGGACAACAAGTTCGCTTCTCCGACCTGTTGTACCTACAAGAAGAGAAACCGAGTGAGAAAAGTGTTAGAGATATTTTATGATTGTTATCATGTATTTTAATTAACCTTTTTGTAGAATTTATTAGACACCAAATAGGCCTTAAATGGCAATGATATGCTTACCATATTAGGAATGGGTCTCCTCTTTATAGGAGCCCAATCATTATCTAACCTACTATTCTACGAGGCTATATGTATGCCCTTTGTAGAATGCGTAGGTAAGAAAGAAAAGTTAGCGTAAGAGAGGCTTTCCCAGTTATGCAGCCGCAGTGCTCATTTTACGTAGAAGGTTTTCTGTACGCTAAGTTTTTCTCCTATCATTCTGTAAAACCTTCTTCAATGGAAAGCTTCCACTATGTCATTTAGAGTTCCATCTTCATACATCATTATATAGATATAGTATAGGGTGATAACAGGGACCAACATTTGGCATCAAAGCGGGACTGATTGAATGATTGAAGCAGAGAAGAAGAAGCTTGCGCGAAACTTCATCGGTTGTTCTCTTCTCACGAGCAATTTGCAGATTGTTTGTGTTTACTGATTTTGCTAGAAAATGTATACAGGATTATGTTTCTGTGATTTCTAGGATTCATTCTCTGTATTTTTCTCAGCCATATCATCAGCATACAGGTCAAGCAGAGGAAGAGCGATTCTGCACTTTAGCGCATCTCACTGAGGAAGAAACAGTTTTAACGTTTCATGCGTGAATCTCTTTCCTGCGGATTAGAAATTGTGCGTGAAGCTTAAGCTGATTTTTACTCCTTGCGCCAAAGTGTTCTGCCCCAAAGTGCTCTGCGCCAAAGTCTCCGTGCGTCATTTATCCTCCGTGCGCCATTCTCAAAGTCACCGTGCGCCATACTCTACGTGCGAGATTTTCACCAGTGTGCCACTCTCATGCGCCATTCTCCTCGTGCGAGATTGTTGTGTGCGAGATTTGTGGCCGTGCGCAATTCTAGGTGGTGAGACATTCCTTTGTGCGCTATTCTCTGTGCAACATTTTCAAACAGCTAAGTCCGCCATTATATGAACCTTCTGTTTGAAGAATTCTACAAACTAAGACAGACCCTAAACAATCAACAGATCAGCCCGATCCAAAATATGGATGATCTTTCCATTGGAAATGACACTAGATCCCCAATCCTAAGAAGAGTAGAGTACAATGTTTGTAAGAACAGGTTCCTTAACTTTCTCGAAAGCAAAGACCAATCTTCTGGATTGCTGGACTCAAACACTAATGGACCTGCTCAGTTGCTGATAGCTATTGATAGAAATGATGAGAACAATCCACCTCTTGAAGTTGAACTACGACCAAAAACTGTTGATGAATACGATGATGAGGACCGAGCAAGAATCTGTGCTCACTTACTCGCAAAGACCTACCTGCTCCAAGCTATCCCGGATGACATCTACATGCAAATTGATAAGATGTCAACTGTAAAAGAGATGTGGGATGAAATCTTCAAAATTATGCAAGGAACTGAAATAGGAGTCAAGGCAAAGAAAGCAAGCTCATTCACAGCATATGACTCATTCAAAGCAAAGCTAGGAGAATCTCTCGAAGACACCTATCTCAGGTTCCTACAACTGATCAATGAAATGAGAAAGATTGGAGTTAAGTTTGAAATGAAAAGGGAAGACTGACTACTCTTTCGGCTGAAACTAGATGCTAAGTTTGAGGTAAGTTCTTTTAACTCCTTAAATTCAACATGCTCTAAGATAGATTCAAACATTATCAAAATTAAGGAGCTAGAAGAGAAACTTGATAATGTTCACAATGTCAACATCAAACTGCTCGAAAGGCAAACGTGCTTAAAATTAAAGATAACCAACTCAGAAAAACAATCACTAAACTCACATCTGAGAATGAAAGATTGAGTAACAGTGAAAATGAACTTACAGAGAAACTCAGGGTAACTGAAAAGGAAAGAATCAAATTGTTTGGTGTCAACAATTTTCTTTATGAAAAAAGGGCTGCTCTTTATACCAAAATAAAAGAACTTGAAGACCAGTAACCTGTTAGCTAAGAGAGATCAAACAGACCAGACCATTTTCCTTAACCAGCCTAAGGACACTCGTTTCTACAACTCCAAGGAGGGCCTAGGATTGACCAACCCTCAAAACCTGATAAAGGTCAACTGTATTCAACTCTATGATGTTAGATACATGAGACTAGGATTGACCAAACTCATGGCCTTCACTAAGGCTGAAGAAACGAATGCCCTCAAGGATGAAAAGAGAAAAACCAAGGCTGGTGTTGAGGTTCCTTTTGACTATACTTAGTTAAACAAGAGTTACAAAACCAAAGAGCCCCCATTGACCCCTGCTGATGAGATTCTGACTTATCCACCTGAAAAGGAGACTGTGCAAGATGGAGAGGAACCTTCCACCTCAGAACCTTTAGTCAAACCAGCATACATTCCACCTCTTGTGAGAAAGTTTGATAAGTTAAAAGAATCTTTTGATAAAGAAAAACAGGCTTTTGAACTTGAAAGAGAACAACTTTTAAAAGAAATATCCTTGTTAAAAACATCCTCTCAATCTAGCACAAGTTCTCAATCTCCTTCTCCTCCATCCTTTAAAAAATGCATTGAAAAATCAACCAATGATTCTAAATCCTCTACCACTCATTCTGAGTCTCCTTCTCCGACAAAGAACCCCGTGAAGAGGAGAGTGGAGAGGAAGGGAGAATGGATTGAGGAGAAGTTGAGAAGAAGAAAGAAGGAAGAAGAATCTCGTCTAAGGAATAGGAACCAGTGTTCGAGTGTTCTGTTTTATGCCAAAAATAAGTCTAAATCCAGCATTAGTGAGTCGTCTACTAGTCATACTAGGAGTGTTGTTCCTATGACCTTCCTAAGCGAACCTTCGACTAGTTACTCTAGAAGAACTGCTCCCTAAGCTTTCTTTTCTAAGACATATATTAAGAACCGATGTTCTAGATGTTGTTATCTGAATCGTGTTAAGTCAATGAAAACTTGCTGCTTTGAGTCTGATTCCTCTTCAAACCCTGAAAAGAATGTGAATGTTCAGACACACCAAAAGAAATCAACTTCTGAGAGAGTGACTGTTGAAGGGGAGTACAAATTACCGTTTTTAAAGTATCCCCTCAATGTTCACTCACTCAAACATTTGAGAAGACTCTCTCAAGAAACAATTTTAAAAGATCATTTGTGTGAACATTCACTCACTGTTAATGAAACCTCCCTCGCTCCAAAGTTCAAACAACAATGGGTTCCTAAGGTCGAAGCTGAGAAATTAAGAACGTCAAACACTTCTCAATCAGCTGGCCTAGGTTCCCAAATAAAACAAAAGCTGAAACATTTCTTCTCAATTGATAAGGAAGGACCCATCTTGATGAGGTAGGTACCAAAATGTATTTAATCTGTTTTGTAGGTCCATCATGTGTGGTACCTGATTTGATTGCTCCACACACATGGCGGGTATGACGAGCTGCGAGCAATCAACCGGTGCACATTATCAAAGGGAGTATTGACGTGTATACTACCCCACTGAGCTGAAAATAAACAAATGCATGCCTCAACATCAACACACGCCAAATGCTTATTCTGAGGGGGAGTGTTTCTGTTTCACTCCTCCTGGTGCCATACAATGAAGAACGCACACTTCAAGGGGGAGTTTTCTACTTTACTCCTCGGGTGACAAACAACACCTTGCACATTCCGAGGGGGAGTTATATTTTTCTCCTCCTAACGCCAATCAAGGATCAATGCAAGGATGTCATGGCAGAACTAGCAGCAATCAAGACCGTCTATGAGATCCAGAACTGGAACCCCATCAAGGAGAACAACTCAAAGCTGGACCCAGACGTGTTCTCATGCCAAGATGAAGTGATCCTCGCCATTCTGAAAGGCCACAAATTGTGGAAGACCTTAAGCGACTCAGCAAAAATTCTTGAAGTGTATCTCCAACATTTTTGGGGAACACTTAACAAGGTCATGTACAACAACAACAAGAGAGATGATGTACTGACTGTCACTATCTTGAACACTGAGATCACTGTGACCAAATATCTCCTGCACCAAGCTCTACAAATCCCAGAAGAAGACCATCATGATGAGCTGGCAACTGAACCAGAAATAATGGCTGATATGATAAAGCTAGGCCATGCTCAACCAATCAAGCTCATTTCTGATGTCAAACTGGGACGCTTACCAAGACCGTGGAGGACAATGCTCGCAATTCTTAACAGGTGTTGTACTGGTAAACACACTGACTTCGACAAATGCAACATCTACCTTCTGACCATCTTCCACAGTATCGCTTTCATTAAGAACTATGACTACGTCTCGCTGATATGGGACGAAATTTTTGAGCTAGTCAGAAAGAGGACGAAGACGGACAAGATCAAACGTCTGTCGTACATGAGATGGTTCTCCATGATAATACGATATCTCTCCCGGACCACACCGACAATCCACTGGAGACTCTCAAAGGAGAACGTCTACATTCCGTCCGTCCAACGTCTCAAGAAAATACCTGACGATCCCACACTGGTTCCAATGACAATACCAGTGCCTCTTCTACACTTAGCTGATCCGAAAGATCCATCTATCCGACGTTACTGTGAAGAGAACGACATTATACTCCCTATGGCTCAGATAAACCCCCCTGAACCTACCCCAGGGAGTCAGTCGAGAGTGAGTGAGGGTCCTGAGAGTTCAACCCAGCCACAAAGACCTGTGAAAAGTTGGCCCCATGATGATCAGACTACGTCTGCTGAGGGCCATACCCGTGCTGAAGAGACTTCCCGTGATTCGCCAAGCGTAGCCACAACACAAGACGCTGATGATGAGGACTCTGGGAGCAAGGCTGAGAAGAGAGAGAACGATGAAGGTGATGAGGACGACGATGACGCAAACGACAACTCAAGAAAAGCCAAGAAAGCCCCGGTATAGAAACGTTGACTCATTGATAAGTCCATTTTTGTACTTATTTTTCTTATCGAAATTAAGCGATTTTTGTATAGAAAATAGAAAAACAAGGCACGTTTTGGATATTTTGGTTCAAGTTTCATGAATTGAGGTGAAAAT